TTCCGCCTCGTGGCGGCGGAGTTTCATCCGAGAAGATGGCTTATGATTTTTTTTCCTCATCGAAAGACTTCATATAGCAGAAGATGGCCATCGGAGGGCCACCAGGGAGCCCATGAGCTAGGGGGAGCGCCCAGGGGGGTAGGGCGCGCCCCCACCCTCGTGGGCAGGGTGTGGCCCCCCTGGTGAACTTCTTGCTCTCAGTAATTTTTATATATTCCAAAAACGTCTTCCGTGAAGTTTTAGGACTTTTGGAGCTGTGCAGAATAGGTCTCTAATATTTGCTCCTTTTCCAACCCAGAATCCCAGCTGTCGGCATTCTCCCTCTTTATGTAAACGTTGTAAAATAAGAGAGAATAGGCATAAGTATTGTGACATAATGTGTAATAACAGCCCATAATGCAATAAATATCGATATAAAAGCATGATGCAAAATGGACGTATCAGAAACTGACACCCGCCAGCCACCTGTGTGCAAAGCACGTCGGTAGAACCAGTCTCGCGTAAGCGTACGCGTAATGTCGGTTCGGGCCGCTTCATCCAACAATTCCGCCGAACCAAAGTATGACATGCTGGTAAGTAGTATGACTTGTATCGCCCACAACTCACTTGTGTTCTACTCGTGCATATAACATCTACGCAATAACCTGGCTCGGATGCCATTGTTGGGGAACATAGTAATTTCAAAAAAAATTCCTACGCACACACAGGATCATGGTGATGCATAGCAACGAGAGGCGAGAGTGTGTCCACGTACCCTCGTAGATGTGGAAGCATTAGCACAACGCGATTAATGTAGTCGTACGTCTTCACGATCCAACCGATCCAAGTACTGAACGCACGGCACCTCCGAGTTCTGCACACGTTCAACTCGATGACGTCTCACGAGCTCCGATCCAGCAAAGCTTCACAGGAGAGTTTCGTTAGCACAACGGCGTGGTGACGGTGATGATGATGCTACCGACGCAGGGCTTCGCCTAAGCACCGCTACAATATGATCGAGGTGGATTATGGTGGAGGGGGGCACCGCACATGGCTAAGAGATCAATGATCAATTGTTGTGTCTATGGGGTGCCCCTGCCCCCGTATATAAAGGAGCAAGGGGAGGAGGCGGCCGGCCAGGGAGAGGCGCGCCAAGAGGGGGAGTCCTACTCCCACTAGGAGGACTCCTTTTCCTAGTAGGAGTAGGAGAGGGGGAAGGAAAGGGAGAGGAGGAGAAGGAAAGAGGGGGCCGGCCCCCCTTGCCCTAAACCAATCCGGTTTGGGCCTTGGGGCGCGCGCCCCACACTCCCCTTGCTGCCCTCTATTTCCACTAAGGCCCATGTAGGCCCATTAAGCCCCCCGGGGGGTTCCGGTAACCCCCCGGTACTCCGGTATATGTCTGAAACCTTCCGGAACCTTTTCGGTGTCCGAACATAGTCGTCCAATATATCGATCTTTACATCTCGACCATTTCGAGACTCCTTGTCATGTCCGTGATCATATTCGGGACTTCGAAGTACCTTCGGTACATCAAAACACAGAAACTCATAATACCGATCGTCACCGAACTTTAGGGGTGCGGACCCTACGGGTTCAAGAACTATGTAGACATGACCGAGACACGTCTCCGGTCAATAACCAATAGCGGAACCTAGATGCTCATATTGGCTCCCACATATTCTACGAAGATCTTTATCGGTCAAACCGCACAACAACATACGTTGTTCCCTTTGTCATCGGTATGTTACTTGTCCGAGATTCGATCATCGGTATCTCAATACCTAGTTCAATCTCGTTACCGGCAAGTCTATTTACTCATTCTGTAATACATCATCCCGCAACTAACTCATTAGTTACAATGCTTGCAAGGCTTATAGTGATGTGCATTAGCGAGTGGGCTCAGAGATACCTTTCCGTCAATCGGAGTGACAAATCCTAATCTCAAAATACGCCAACTCAATAAGTACCTTCGGAGACACATGTAGAGCACCTTTATAATCACCCAGTTACGTTGTGTCGTTTGGTAGCACACAAAGTGTTCCTCCGGTAAACGAAAGTTGCATAATCTCATAGTCATAGGAACATGTATAAGTCATGAAGAAAGCAATAACAACATACTAAACGATCAAGTGCTAAGCTAACGGAATGGGTCAAGTCAATCACATCATTCTCCTAATGATGTGATCCCGTTAATCAAATGACAACTCATGTCTATGGCTAGGAAACATAACCATCTTTGATCAACGAGCTAGTCAAGTAGAGGCATATTAGTGACACTCTGTTTGTCTATATATTCACACATGTATCATGTTTTCGGTTAATACAATTTTAGCATGAATAATAAACATTTATCATGATATAAGGAAATAAATAATAACTTTATTATTGCCTCTAGGGCATATTTCCTTCACTTCCACCACGCCGCCCCCGTGCACCGCGGACCGCCGACCCACCTGTGAACGCAGCCGGACTACGTCGACCTCGTCAGCGACGACGACGACACCGGCGGTCACTGAAGACGGCGACGGCCACGGCATGGACGGACATGGCAGGTGCGCGCAGGCGGCTTTTTTTTAATTTTGTTTTATGTTAATTATGGAACTGGGCCGTTTAAGTGCGGCGTGAAACTGGGCCGTTTTATGGCCGTGACCCTTAAATATGTTTTAATTTTTTTAACTGTGTTTATTCACTTTTTAGGCATTTTATTTTTTATTTTTTGTTTTTTATCACGTTCACCCCGGACATAATTTGAGATGCGGCCGCGTGTTGAGCGCACCCACGATCCGACGAACAAAGGCGAATATGGATGAATCTATTGCCGCCCCAAAGAAATAAAATCCGGCTAAACTGAATGTTCGTTTAGGGTCGTGTGATGAAGTTGGGCTTACCCACTACCGAACAAAGGTAAACATGGAGGCGAGGACGAAGGAACCGCCGAACCGGGCGTGTGGTTTTCCCTCGGGGGACACCCGAACAGCGACGGCCGCACGTGCGTACGCACGCGCCGTGCAGTCCGTCTCCGGCATCCCTCTCTCCGTCGGTCCGTCGGTCAGTCCGTCCGTGCGCTGCGCCCTGCCTGGAGCCTGCTCGTCTTACGTTGCCTCGTCGCCACGCTTTCGTCACGGACGAGACGCCGCCGCCGCAGTTATTTTCTCCCTTTTTTTCACCCTCGCATCCTTTTGGCCCCGCTCCAAATGTGAAAAATCCACGCACCTTTCCCGGCCGGCCTTCTCCTCCGGACGCGGATTTCGTGTCCGTGCATGGCCCAATAATACGAAAAGCCATGGCTACGAGTAAAGAATTGGCGCCGGAGGGGCGTCCGTATTTCCCCCATGCGCCATGCGGGGTGCTTTTTATCGCTTTCGACCGGGAGCGAGTAATAAATGGACAAATGGATATGACAGACAATCAATCTGCGCTGCGCTGCACCAACCTGCCGGCAGCAGTCTGGCCGGGTCCGTTCACCTGTCCACGTAGCGCTACAGCAGCAGCAGCAGCAGCAACACGGGAGCAGGGGCATAAATTAACCCGGCAGGATCCAGGCCCCGATTTTATCCCGAATATCTTTCTCGATCGTGCGGCTCGCGGTCGTGCCGACACTTTACCCGTTCCTTCATTCCCCTTTCTCGACGTTCAGACTCGCTTCAGTATCCCCTTTTCTGCATCTCATCTCGGTGAAAAAAGTATACTACCGCTTTATCCCTTTTCCGGGCCAGTGTTGTCACAATTCCACCTGGATCGCAAGACGCCGCTGGCCGGTCGCCGTTCCATTCGATCCGGACGGTTCATGATCGACCGTTCGATCTGGAAAGATCAGAACCCGCCGTGCTTTCCGTAGCTCAGTTCGTATGAACTGCATGCATGACGAAAGGCGTGAAAGGTGCCAGTTGCCCGTTTGGTTCCGAAGTACTACTGTACTACTGTACTAGCCTTGCTTTCTCCGATCTCTGCCGTTTGAACGCCTAAATGTAAACGCATGGTGCTTTTACCACCCACTTGCCGGACTGAATAAATTTCCAGCTTATTCGTTCCGTGCCGCGACCAGACTCCAGCCAGGGTCAATCCACCATCAATTCTCTAAGTGATAGTGATCATCAAGTAGGATGTAGTAACTTGTTAGGCCAGAGAAAAGGCTGTGATTGGTCTTAGCATGGACTCTTTGCCTTTGCAGGCTCGACTTTTTTCATCGTCCAATATCCTCTCCCAGCCGTTGATGGTTTCAGCAGCCAAAACGCGCGCGCGTGCGTGCCTTCGTCCGTTCTTGCGCCCGAACCTCAGCGCGCGACCGCAAATTTGGATTTAGCAGAGCATGCAGTCCACGGTAATTTCGATCGCCTTTCGGTACATATTTTTTTACTGCCCTGCGCAGCTCACCCGTCGGCCGGTCACGTACGCTGAATTGCACCGTTCGGTCTAGCCGCCGGCGTCCGCCCGTCGCGCTCTGCAAGACGACGGGTCGACGACGTGGTTCACTCAAACTTGGAAATTAACCCGATCGCAGGATAGTTCAACTCGTGGTGACTATGTCACCCTACTCTGATAGGCTAGAGAAACCTAGTACATGGCTTCGCCGTGGACTAGTCCAGCGATCGCGTGATTATGTCATCCACTACGGCAGCATCTTGACTAAGATGCGGCAGTTCCGTCACTTGGAATCGAGATGCCGCGGTTCCATCCATCCCATCACTTACGATACGCACGAGTCAAACCATACGGCAGAGCATAGTCAAACAGATGCAGCCTCCTTTCAAGTACCAGCATCATGTTGGCTCTCCATTTCGTGTATGATTCAGGAAGTTCTGAAGACAAAGCATCCACTCATTTCTGTCATACATACACTGCACTGAAGGTAGAAAGATAGAGTGGCGACCCTATGAGTGACGGAAGACAAAAGAAAACGGTTTTCTACAAACAATTCCTTTTTTTTCGTGAAACAAAATTGAACTCTGCAACTCTGAAAAAAATCGCAGGCGGGATGCACCGCATGCGTCGTGGTCGATAGTGCTCTTCCTCCAGCACGGTCATTCAGATTTCGCGTACGCGATCCGACTGTGATTTCCATCCAAGAACTGGCCTGTGTACCAGCCCCTGCTCTTGACTTCCGAAACGAACACGGGGAACACGCTCTCCATCTTCTGATAGGCGTCGTTCAGGACCGTGTCACGTGGTCCAGCGCCTGATCTCTCCATCTCCGAAGCGAAGGCAGCGACCAGCCACCCCCTCAGCGCATCCTCCCCGGTTGCGCTCTGCTCAAGAACCATGTACGCCTTGTCGCTTTTTTGGGTGAGCAGAAATTTCTCGTTTGGGAAAATAGACCTCAGCTCTTCGACACGCCGTGGGCTCAAAACCCTGCGAAGTGGTTGCCCGACTTTCACGCTTCCCGCTTCTACTATTAACCGGTTAGGGAACAGAAGATCTTCTCTGTATCTTAGCTCAGCTGGGCTTGAAACCTTTCCGCTCTGCAGAGTAAGGAACGGAATTAGTATTGCAGTAATTCGGAAAACAGGAAGCATTTACAGTTACAGGTCAAACGTAAGAAACCTTGATAAAATCAGCCACCACCATTGCTGTTCTTTGTGGATTAAGTGTGTTTATAGGAGTTGCTCTCATCTCTTGCACCACTCCCCATATATGCACAGCAGAAAGCAATGGGCCTATGATTAGCTGCAAGAAATTTGATATAGTAATTAGAAGCTTGTACCAAACAAAAAGTTCTCAACATAATAATAAGTTCCGGATTCTGATGGTCGTTCTCATTCTCAATGTAATGACCACTCTAATCTAATTCACGTAATGCACTTTTTTTTTACTTCGTTTACTTCCCTGATAAAATGAAACAGAGTAACTTAACAAGTGTATTATTGCAAATATGTACCTTTCCTTGAGTCGTTAGACATACTGTAGATGATAATCCAATGCCAGCTCCTATCCCCATAACATTGAAAAGTGTCGAGATGGCTTCCCCTTTAGCAAACAAGTCACTAAGGTTGCCTTCTTTCGCAAAAGATGAATATATTGGTAGCCTTGTCGCTCTGGCAGCAACCACAGCCATTCCCTACAATGACAAGCAATAAGATATCACTGTGATGGCAGCTCAGTTTTCAGGAAGAAAATCTGGACAAATATGTTCATTTTTACAACGTCCTATAATCGACAGTCATTCCATATAACCATCAGGCGCAGAGGACAGTCGTTTTATCTTTGAGTAAGCTCTCGACAAATTAAACACGCAATGTCGAACAGAAGATTGTATTGCAATATACGTGCCATTTGAAGTGCAGCATATGCAAGTTAAATTCGCACCTTCGCAAAATTTCCCAAGCCTGCCACTTCAAGAAAAAGTTGCGGACACAGTGGTGAAATGAAGTCCAAGGCAGTACCAAAATCATAGAGAACATCAGCTGGCACCAAAACAAAGAGGCATCGATGATGTAGCTTAGAAAGAAAATTTCAGTAGAAGAACACAAACAAGCATAAATATCAGAAAATGGGTGACACGGTAATATGATGATTACCCACCAAATATCCTCCAACTCTTTGGCTCTGAATCCATTCTTGCCCCCATGCCGCTACAGATGAGTTTTCCTGCGTGCTGCATTCCATCTTTTAGAATCTGAAATGGTTAAAGAAAATCAGCCAAGATGTTTCGGTCGTACTACCGGCTAGAAACTTTAGCATCTCTGTCAGCATATGCTTACCCAACTTACAGCCGTTGCTTGCGCAGGGGTAGGTCGTAGACCTGCAGCAAATAATAAAGACTGAGCCGCAGCCCACACGGGCCGTCAGTAGAAGGTACCATGTTTGCTCATCAAACAAAGTAGGTAAAAATAATTTAAGTATCTAGAAAGCGGCTCAAATTCATGGAACTGACACACATTATCCAATGACGACTCTTATTGCTAACGAATAACAGCAACCAGATGAACTGACCTGGGTCGATAGCACATGCAGCATAGCACTAGAAAAATGCTGGAGTGCTCGGAATTTGGTATATGTTAGGTAACCCTCATTCACACTGCATGAGCAAGAGCAAAACTCATCAAATAATGTCGTCCATCAGAGTATCAAGAATGTCAACGATTCGGGAACTCATACCTGTATGGATAACCAGATGGAAAAAACTTGTTCAAGAAAGAATCAACCAACTTATCATGTGCCATCCTGTCATCCTGGATAAGTTTTACCTACAGGAAAATAGGAGCTATAACTAATACGATAATAGAGAATTTACACTGAACTATATAATTATCATGAAAGTAACATTCCAGTACTTTGACTACACAATTATGCTTGCTCATACTGAGATTTTTAGTTATCTAGGTAAGCAGTAAACATTTCCCTAGAAGGGGAAAAGGCTGCTTGCTGTAAACAAATTCAAACAACAATTTGGAAGGTTCATAGTCCATTGTATCATTGGAACAAAGGGTCATATGACATGTAACATGTCCCATCAGTTAAACAATCACACCAAACTATGTACTACACTTTCTGTCAAAAATAACACTCAGGGCAAAGATGAAGCAGTGCTACAAATTAGCTACTGTACTATTGTGTAAACTGAAGCATCTAGCAGTGTGGTTATTGTTTATACCTTTATTTGTGTTAGCTCCAAGATTCATTTTTAACTGGGCAGTACTAAAACTATAGTAGGCTCATAATAACAGTTTTAAAGTTCAGAAATGACAACAGAGTCGAACAGGCACATTGTTATTCACACTAAGTCAATTTAATGATTGATATGTTGGTCTCTATCGCCAAATGATTGATTCTTTCTTGAAAAATACTTCCTCATTATCAATATATAAGACGATTTTGTGGCTAGTTTAGCCTACAAAAAACGTCTTATATTTTGGTACGGAGGTAGTAAGAAGTTACTCCCTCCGTTCACAAATATAAGATGTTCTAACTATTTTCTGAAATGGATGTATGCAGGCACGTTTTAGTGTGTATGTTCACTAATTTCAGTCCGTATGCAGTCCATATTGAAATATCCAAAACAACTTATATTTGTGAATGTAGGGAGTAATATATTGGCCAAGTATGTATTTTGTGACGAGCCCCTTGCGACAATAGATAGGGAATTCAGATATTTGGCACTCCAATTTCAGGTGCCAGAGGGGGAAATCTAATCTGATTCCAACTGAAAACAACATTTTTCACTGTCATCCTATCTCGTGTTGGGCGTAATCCTGGTCGGCACACCAAGGATGAAAAAACGATGCAAGCCTGAAAGTTCATAAAAAACTACAGTAGTAACCACAAGGGAAAATACAGAAGGCTTACAGATACGGCCCCGCCCCCGCCGGCGTCGAAGCTGCAGAGCCGCGAGACGGACTCTGAAATCTCCACCCACGACTCCGGCCTCCGGGGCGTCTCCATCGCGGCCGGCTTGTCGCCGCCTCCGCGAATTCTCTCCTGCGGAAGATTGGCGCACAAAACTAAGAGAGAATTTAACCGGGAGGAGCCGCGGTGCGGCGCACGGGGAGTAGGGATAAAGGATTGCGCGGTAAGGTTGCTGCGCTTACGAGTATGTCCATGGGGGTGCGACGCGGAGAGGAATCGCCTCGTCTTCTTCCTTTGGGCCGGTCGGTTCGACCGAGACGGCGGCCGGCGGCCGGCGGCGAGGCGGCAGGGGAAGGGATGTGGGTTAGCCGGTCGCAGAGGGCGGGGATTCCAACTCCTCTTCTGTCGCATGTGTCGCCGTGTGAGTTTTTCTTCCTCAGAAGAGGCCGCGAACTGCTTCTGCAGCGAAAGCGGGCCGAGTAGGCCCGGGGCCCGAGCCTGATGCGGCCCGCCACGGCCCATTCCCTCGACGACCGTCAGACCGAGCCGCCGTGACAAGTCCAAACTGGACGAACTCATTTGACCGAACACATCTCCATCACCATCGCCATGAGAAGATCACCATAGCACTGGACAACCTCCCGATCCCGAGCAGCTCCGATTGGAAGGCCGCCGTGGCGAGATCCCGCGCGGGCAGGGCCTCGATGGGACCACCGCCGACCAGGTGGCCCCTGCTGGCCGCCCTCGTCGCGGCGGCGCTGCTCGCCGGCGCGGCGGCGGCGACGGAGGAGGCCTACGTCACGCTGCTCTACGGCGACGAGTTCGTCCTCGGCGTGCGCGTCCTGGGCAAGTCCATCCGCGACACCGGCACGCGGCGGGACATGGTCGTGCTCGTCTCCGAGTACTCGCGGGAGCTCCTCGAGGTTTGCTGAATACTACCCACGCCCACGAATTTAGCGGTAGATTAAGTGTGCTTCAGTGAAGTAGCAGCTTTAGCGCAGAGTTGTTTGGGGTTGAACCAACTGGTTGAAATGGAGATGCAAGGAGGATGTTGCTGCTTACTTTAGGAGTTTATTAGGGGTGCTCACTGTGATATCTGTGTACGAAATTCATCATGGGTTATGATAGGTTCGCGCAGAATGGTGTGGACCTGGATGAAAATTTTGTCATTCTAGTCCGTATTACTGTAGTTCAGAAGATTCCTGAAAGAAAAAATCACTTCAGAAGATGCCACACTACAATGAACATTATTTGTCAATCTTCTTACCTGCAAAGCAGTTTCGGTGTATGTTTCAAACTAATCCGTATTGAATCTAACATTAGATAAATTCTAGGCTGATGGTTGGATCGTGAAGCGTATAACTTTACTGGCTAATCCTAACCAAGTGAGACCAACGAGGTTTTGGGGTGTCTACACAAAGTTGAAGATATTCAACATGACAAGCTACAAAAAGGGTACGTGCCGATAATAATTTAAGTGATTGTGCTTCTTTATTTCCGTCACCAAGTCCGTCTGTTTCAAAATGATAAATCATTTTTTTAGTTCTTGAAAAGTATTTTTTTTTCTGACATCGCTTTCGCCTCATATTTTTTGTATTGCTATTCTAAAAGGTTGCTGTTCTCCCAGTTGTTTATCTTGATGCAGATACTGTAGTTGTAAAAAGTATCGAGGATGTTTTCAAGTGTGGGAAGTTCTGTGGGAACTTGAAGCATTCTGAAAGAATGAATTCCGGAGTGATGGTTGTGGAGCCATCTGAAACTGTTTTCAAGGATATGATTAGCCAAGTAGACCGGTTGCCTTCCTACACTGGAGGTCAATGCACTTCTTTTCCTATTATATTCAGGCAATTGTTTGGAGAACACAAGCTGATTGGCTGTGAACAGTTTGCTCACATCTATTAAATTTCAGTGCATGCTGGTCCATATAAAAAAAAAATTCTTGTGCAATAAACTTGAGAGCGATCGCACTTACCTAAACGGAAGAGACTAATTATATAAGAAAAATGTTTTTTTTTTCATACGGGTAACTTGGTAAGTGCTTTCAGAGACTTTGCTCTCACACTTACAAAATGTAAAGTAAATAATTATTTGCTTCAGTGTGTTACTTTTCATAGATTTGGCATGTTAGTGCATGTAAGCAAAAGTTATTTCATAAATAGACAGTATGTTTTTAAGGCGTCCGTAAGGCGACGCCTAGGCGTCGAGGCGCCCCCCAAGCGCTTTGCAAATATGCCCGCTTTAGGCGCCT